TCCCCAGGCCCCTCCGCTGTCACACGGCCACCCCGGATAGTGTCGAAATTCAGTCAGCTCATCTCACTTCACTCGGCAGAGATGAAATCTCTGGGCCGCGGCCGCTCAAGCCCTCGTGTCCCCTGCCCAGCCCCAGGCCACTCCTCCCCTGTCAGCCCTCTCTCTCTAGGCCTATTTCAGGGCCTTTGCGCCTGGCGCTCGCTGGCTCACTGCCCTCCGCTTCTGAGCGCCACCTTTGAGGCTTTTCCCACTGGCCTCCCCGTGGAGTCAGTCTTGTCCCCTGTCCTGATAGCCGCATTCCCAGCTGTGTGGGACTCAAGGCTGCCTCCAGCTGACCCTGAGCATCCCAGGGGGGCAAAGCGGGTCCTGGGCCTACCCAGAGGGGTAGAAAAACGCTGCGCGGGCTTTCGGGGCTCAGCGTGGGGCCCTGGAAGACCTCCCCTCCACCGACTTACAAACGCCCTTTTATGGATTTCTCCCAGCCCACTCCAATCTGGGCCTCTGCCCAGGAGCTGCAGGCTCTGCTGGCCAAGGGGGGCTGGGTTGACAGTGACGCCAGGCCCTGACTTCCCTGAAGTAGAGGGGCACAAGTGCAAGGCCCTGTGGAAGCTCGTGGGGTGAGGGATCCAGGAAGGCTTCCCCGAGGAGGGGCCAAGAGCACAACTAAAGCACTCAGCAGACCTGTGCCTCACATGGTACACACATGGATGCCCATTTTACAAATGAGCTCAGAGGACAGGGTGCGATGGCTCAAGCCTATAATCCCAGCACTTTGGGAGACTGAGGCGAGAGGATTGCCTGAGCCCACAGGTTCGAGACCAGCCTGGGCAACTTGGCGGGAACTCATCCCTACAATAAATCAAAAAGTACACCTGGTGTTGTAGTGTGCGCCTGTAGTTCCAGCTACTTAGAACGGGAAGGATCGCCTGAACCCGGCAGAGCTAGGCTACAGTGGCTGTGAGTGTGCCACTGCTCTCCAGCCTGGGTAACAGAGTGAAACTCCAACTTAAACAAAACAAAACAAAAAAGCAAATGAGCTCAGAGAAACAGATATCTACTCAAGTTCACTTGTAGGGCACCGCTGGCCTCTAAGATGCCTTCTTGAGACACCACCATCCAGATGGATGTGACCTGGGCCAATGCACCTGGCCCGGCAGTTGGAGGGTGGGCTGGACTTCAGCCCCTGCTGGTCCTCTCAGCTGAGTGCCTTGAGCAGCTCACAGCCTGCCCACCTGTACTCAGCGACCCTGGTCACTTGGCTAACAGATGGAGGAACCAGGATTAAAACCCAGGAATCCCAGACCTCTGTTCAGGTCTCCCAGCATGGGGCCTGCCTGAGCATGGATGCTCCAAGGCTGAGGGGGCAACATTGCATGCCTCAGAACCTCGGCTTCTCAGCACCGACTGGAAACCATACCCTCCCCAGCAGGATGTCACGGGGGCAGGGCCAACACATGGCATGTGTCTAGCCCTGCATCGTGCCAGGTGGTGGCTGGTCTTCCTAACCTGATGGACCAAGTGAGCCTGGACACTGGTGGTAGAGGTCACGTCCTTTCCAGCCCGAGAAGCATTCAACTGGGGCATGGGAGGGTAAAGCGGGGGACACCTATATGGGGATGGCGCTCAGGAGCAGGTGGGAGACAAGCTACAGGGTGGCCCAGGCAGTCACAGGGAAGAGAGAGGGCAGGGACGGATGTGATGAGGAGCTGATATGGGAAGGCCAGGCACCAGCAGGCGAGGAGAGAATGAGGGAGCACTGAGACTTTGGTGTTGGCAATGATTTCTTAAAGCAGGTCACAAGACCCACCAATTATAAAATAAAGACTGGTGAGTTGAAGTTCGTTAAGTCAGGCACAGTGGCTCACGCCTATGATCCCAGCACTTTGGCGACCAAGGTAAGAGGATTGCCTGAGCCCAAGGTTCAAGGCCAGCCTGGGTAATTTGGCAAGCCCTCATCTCTACAATAAATAAATAAATAAATAAATAAATAGCTGAGAATGGTGGCATGTGCCTATAGTTTCAACAACTTGGAAGGCTGAAGCGGAAGGATCACCTGAGCCCAGCATACGAGGCTGTGGTGGCCATGAGTGTGCCACTGCACTCCAGCCTGAGTGGCAGAGTGAGACTCCAACTCAAAAAAAGAAAAAGAAATTCATTAAAATTAAGAATTAAAGGAGTAATAAGTTAAGACACAAACTGAAGGAAATATTTGTACTACGATTATCACAAAAGACTGGCACCCAGAATATATAAAGAGCTTACAGAGAACCATAAGAAGGCCAACAGTCCAATAAAACTGTACAGAAATTGGACATTACACAAAGAAGGATGCCCAAGTAGCCAATGCATATGAAATGTGTTCATGCTGGTCATCAGGAAAATGCCATTAAAACCATACATCACTTCATCCCTGTAATAACTGTGTCTTTGATTTTGTGTATTTTGATGCTTTGACATCCGGGGCCTTGCTGGCCCTCTGGAGGGACCACCCCTCCCAGATCCACCCATCCCTAGATATAGTCAGTGGCTTGCCCTGGAGCACACCTTTCAACTTCTGACCACCAATCCAATCCAGAACCCGCAGCCAGTCAGCTCCTTTACTGGACTTCCACACTCCAGACCTTTACCCTTCTGGTCCAATCACCCCAAGGCCAGGGCCGGGTCCAGACAACCAGGGACTGCTCTTTGTCCCCAGAGTCCTGATATTATTCAAACGAGTCAATCCTAAACCTCCTGACCCCATCTCACCCATTCCTTCCTGCGGGAACCACAAGAGGGGAACCTGCCCACAGCTGCCCCCTCCCTTCCTCTGCCTTCTGACCCACCCAGCCCCAAGCCTGGTGCTTCCTGTGTGGTCCCCCCCTCTTGGGAACTGTGAGTAATAAACTGTCTTCAACAGCAGTCTCTCCTGATCTGCTGGCCTTACTATGCCCAGGTGCCGTAAGGGAGTGCTTCCACCAGGCCCAGCCTCCTCTAAGAGCACCCCAAGCCCACTCACCCTTTGGAGTCCAGCCCACTAGACCCGCTGGGCTGGCTGTCTTGCTGGGGACTGCTCGTGTGGGACAGGGTCTGCCCCAGCTGCAGCCCCGGAAGAAACCTCAAGGACTTCTTTGTGCCCAGACTCTCTGGAGGAAGCAAAGGTATGATTTTCACATGCTCTGGTCTGAGGTACAGGATCTCCTCCGGCCTGGGCAGCCACATACCTTTGGCCCCCATGGAGCCCATCTTGCCCTTGATCTCTGAGCCTACAGGAAACAAAGGAAGGATCCAGATGGCCTCAGCTGGACCCAGACGTCAGGCAACGCTGCTCAGGCTCCCAGGACTCACCAAGTGCCCCCCTCCCCAGCCTCGACAGGAGAGGGTAATAAGGGGAAAGCCCCGGGGTGAAGTTGAGAGCTGGTGTCTGCCCCAAGCAAATGCCTTGTGCTGAGCTCAGCTGGGGCCATGGAAGGTAAGCAAGGGGCCAGCCTGTGGCCCGGGTGCCGGCAGGGCCCCTGCCAATGGGGCATGGGGTCCCAGTGGGCCACTGGCAGGGCCCTCCCAGGGACCTGCATTCTCTTTTCTGCTACCTTTGTCCCCTGACATGACATAAATGCTGCTGCCTTTGGGGACCTCGGTGACCTCCTCGGCTTTTCTGAGAGACGAGCGTTTCTTCTCCTGTTCTTCGAACCACTCCTTGGGCGACAGTCGGTCTAGGAAATCCTTGTAGACCTTGTACTGCTGCAGCGTGTCTTCAAATTTGGAGATCTCGCTAGGCCCATGGGTGGGGGGGTTGGGGGTGGAGGTCAGGCTCCACCTGTGGCGAGGCCCCCCTACCCTGGCCAAGGCTGTGTGGCCCTGGTTCTCCGGGAGAACCGGCACAGGAATGCCATGTGCTGGGACAAGGGCACCACTTGCCCTGCAGGGGCCAGAGTGACGCCCTCTGTGACCTGCAGGTTCCTCTCCACCCTGAGGACTCTGGCTGCATCTCTCAGGCTGGAGCCCGGGGGGCCTGTGAGCCAGGCCGGTCCCTCTCCCGCAGTGTGGCCTTGGGCAAGTCACTGACTCTCCTGGTGTGAGTCCTCCTGTCTGTAAAATGGGCACCAGCCGCCCGGGAGCTTTGATCCCTGAGGGGTGGGTGATGGGGTCTGCATGGCGCTAGCCTTCCTTTGGCCCCTGAGAAGTTAGGGTTGGAGGGCCAGGGGCCAGGCCAGGGTGCCCTTTGGCCTCACCTTTTGATGTTCATGATCTGGACGGTGAGGTCCCTGATCTCGATGATCTTCTCCACCTTGGCTTTTGTCTCCCTCTCAGCCCTGGAGGGGGGGTGGCAGGGGGCGGGTCCAGACTCTCAAAGAGGAGGGAGCACATGCCCTCAGCCATGCGGAGGCGGCTCAGGGCAGGGCTGGCGTGCCCCTGAAGGCTCTTGCCCGCAGTCCCCCTCCCTTGCGTCCTGACAGACCCAGGTGCTGCAGGGGCGTTGCGGGGCCTGGGCTTGGGCTGGGCCAGGGTGTGGGCAGGCGGTCTGCCCAGGCTCGGGGGATGTGGGTGGGGGAAGGTCGCTCCGGCCAGCCAGGCTCACACTCTCATGGCCTGCACGGAGCTGCGGTCGTTCTCCCTGAGGAACTCGTCGAACAGGGCCGCGTCCTTCTCCAGGGACTTCTCGGCCTGCTCCAGCCTGGCCTCCTCCTCCGCCACCTGCAGCTCCAGCCGCTGGATCTCGGCACGCTTCATCTCCAGGGCATACTGAGGGCCGGCAGGGTGGGAGTCACAGTGTTCAGCCTGGCCCAATAGCCAGCGGGCGTCCCGCACACAGGTGGGGTGTGGGTGTGCGTGTGTGCGTGTAGGGGTTGCGGGGGGAAGAGGGACTCGGGCTACCTGGAGGAGGAACATCTGCCGCTTCTGGTTAATGTAGCTGTTCGTGTTCTCAGGCTCCACCTTTTCTGCAAGGAGAGGGCCGCAGTGAGCAGCAGCAAGAGGCCCTGGCTCTCCACCGAAGATGGGCTTGGCAGCCCATGAGGGGAACCAGTCACCAGTGCCTGGGCACCGTTCTGCTTCGATACCCAGGGTACCACAGGGACTGTGGGGGGTTGTGCTCTTTTCCTGTGTCTCCAGCAAAAGGAGAGAAGGCTCTGCCTGATCTATTACATTCTGCATGGCTGGAGTCTGGCCAGGTGGGAAGTCCTTACTGTGTCTGACTTGGGCCTCTCTTGCTGGAACAGCCTTTTCACCTGGAATGAGGCTCTGGACACCCCCATCCTGGAAATCTCACCCAGCTGGACTTGATAGCAAAAGGCTTACCAGCCAGGACCTGAATGGAGGCGGGGTGAGAAAAACGGGACACCATGATCTCTACTGGGGACACCCCAAGCCCCCAGAGCCCAGTGTGGACAGCAGTTGCATGTATACTGCCAGGGTTTAAGTCAGGGGAGAGGAAGCTGAAGTGGACATCCACACAGCCTTCAGGAGAGTAAGCAGAGGGGCAGCCTCGCTAGAGTCGGAGACCACAAGGGCCTCCTTCCCTGGCCTTCCAGGAGCTGTGGAAGGGACCCAGAAGCCTGGTTTCTGGGGAGCTCTCTGGACTTGTCCCTGGTGTGACTGGTGCAAAAGCTCTGTTCTCAGAGCCCAGATGCCCGGAGAGGCCTTGGCTCAGCCTCCCTGGGTGGCCTTGGAGACGTCGCTGCCACTCAGGAAGACCCAGCTCACTGGGAGTCAAGGTCCAGGCGCCGGTGAGTCCTGGGCCCAAACCTCTGGGTCCAGCCTCCCCTGACCCCCCAGGTCTTGGGAACGAAGGGCAGCGGCAGAAAGATGTGCCTGCTGCTCAGAAAATGTCCCAGCGAGCTCAGGGTGGGGTGTACCAGGTGGAGGCTGGTCCCGCGAGCCCGCTGTGCTCCAGGGCTTTGATCCCAGCTGCGTCTTTCCAACTTTGTGATGTTGTACTTCATGGTGGGTAGTAGAAACTGTAACACGTGTGTGTGTGTATATATGGTTCTTTCTTACTATGTTCAACGTATTAACACATTTAATTGCCACAGCTCATGAGGTGGGTACTGTTATCAGCCAGAAGAAACTGAGGCAAAAAGGGCTCAGTAACTTGACACAGAGCTCTTAACTGCAGGAGCTGCGCCTAGAACCAGGAAAACTAGTTCCCGGTGGATGCTCTTTATGCTGAAGTTAAACTACGCGCCCTTCCCATATTGCACGGTCTGCACCCTTGGCGATGCCTGGGATGTGGGTAGTGGGAAGCCTGCATACACGTTCACCCTGTATGGACACACCTGCGGTGAATCAGGCACACGGCAAGAGGAGCCATAGCTAATAGGAAAACAGAGCAATGCAACGGTAGAGTGTAGCAGAGTCACGTGAACTGGGCTCCCTTCCTCCCTCGCCTTCTCAAACACCTGGCTGTAGCACTTTCCCACTCGGCTCGAGATGGAGCCCAGGCGAGCAAACCCACGGATAGGCGCTGCTTGTCCTTCCAAGATCTTAGACTGATGGGCACCTGGAATGGGTCTTTGTGACTGTGTGAAGGAGGGGTCAGACAGAAAAGGCCACCTTCCCTGCACCTGGAAAGCGCTTCCCGGCTACGCAGGTGAGTGGCACGGGGCTCCACAGCGCCACGGTGCCTCCCCCCCCAAGGCCTTGCACGCAGGAAGCAGGGGGCACCTTTGGTGGCGGCGAGTTTCCAGGCCATGTGGTCACGGAAGGCGCGCAGCTGCTGGGCCTCGGCGCGCACCTGCAGGTCCTGGGTCTGGTCCTCCAGCTGCAGCTCCCGCCGCAGTCTGGTGTGCTTGGCGCACACGTTGGAGGCGTAGGTCATCTTCTCGTACACCCGCAGCGTCTTCTTCCGTTCTCGCTCCTGCGGGTCAGACCAGGTGGGTGGCGCCCGGGCCGGGGGCTCCCTGTCACCCACGGACTCCGGAGACGCACGCTAGAGGCTCGAGGACGCGGGTTTGCGCGGGAGCATGTGGGGGTGCCCGTGGAGCCTGCGGGAGTCTAGGGGGCCCTGACAGCCGCCCAGGGTTGAGGGTGAGTGGGCTGGAGGGACCCGGGGAGGCATGTCGCCCCCACTCTCTGCAGGATGACCGTCAGCTGCGCGCTGCAGACCAGCACAGCGTGAGCGAGGGTATGAGGATGGACTCTTCTGGAGTGAGGTAGGGTCTGAGATGAGGGGACTCTCCCAGGGTGGGAAGGTGTGAGAGTTCAGGAAATTCTCATGGTGTGGAGAAAAGTGTGAGGTGAGGAAATGGGTGAAAGAGGGTGTGAAGTGAGGGGACTCTTGGGGTGGAGGAGGGTGTGAAGTGAGAGGACTGCTAGGGTAGGGGAAGGTGTGAAGTGAGGGGACTGTGATGGGGTGGGGGAGCATGTGAAGTGAGGAAACTCTCCTAGGGTAGGGAAGGCGGAAGGGTGAGAAGTGAGGAGACTGAGCTGGGGAAGGGGAGGGTGTGAAGTGAAGAAACTCTCCTAGGGTGAAGAAGGGTGTGGAGGGAGGAAATGGTACTGGGGGGAGGAGGGTGTGAAGTGAGAGAATTGTTCTGGGGTAGGGAGGGTGAAGTGAAGACACTCTCTTGGGCGGCAGAGGGTGTGAAGTGAAGAAACTCTCCTGGGGTGAAGGAGGGTATGAGGTGAGGAAATTCTCATTGGGTAAGGGAGAATGTGAAGTGAGGAAACTCTCCTGTGGTAGGGAAGGTTATGAAGTGAGGAAATCTCCTAGGGTGTGGGAGGGTGTGAAGTGAGGGGACTGTGCTGGGTGGGGGAGGGCTTACAGTCAGGAAGCAATTCTGCAGTGAGGGAGGGTGTGAAGTGAGAAAACTCTCCTGAAGTGGGGGTGGGTGTGAAGAGAGGAGACCTTCTTGGGGTGGATGAGAATGTGGAGTGAGAAAAGTTTCTGGAGGGGTGGGGGATGGTGTGAAGTGAGGGGACTGTGTTGGGGTGGGGAAGGTGTGAGGTGAGGAAACTCTCTTGGGTGGGGGATGGTGTGAAGTGCGGAAAGTCTCCTGTGGTGGGGGAGGGTGTAAGGTGAAGAGACTCTTGGGATGGAGGAGGGTGTGAAATGAGATTGTGCTGGGGTGGGGGAGGGTGTGATGTGAGGAAACTCTCTTGTGGTAGAGGAGAGTGTGAAGTGAGGGAACTGTACTGGGATGGAGAAGGGTGTGAAGCGAGGAAACTCTTCTAGGGTGGGGGAGGATGTGGAGTGAGAAAACTCTCTTGTGGTGGGGGAGGGTGCAAGGGGAGGAGACTTTCTTGGGGTGGAGGAAGATGTGAAGTGAGGGGCCTATGCTGGGGTAGGTTAAGGTGTGAAGTGAAGAAACTCTCCCGGAGCGGGGAGGATGTGAAGTGAAGAACCGCTCCTGGCTTGAGAGAGGATGTGAAGTGTGAAAACTCTCCTGGAGTGGGAGAGGGTGTGAAGTGAGGAAACCCTCCTGGGGTAGGAGAGGGTGTGAAGTGAGGAAACTTTCCAGGAGAGAGGGTGTGAAGTGAGGATTCTCTCCTGGGGTTGGGGAGGATGTGAAGTGAGGAAATAATCTAAGGTGGGAGAGGGTGTGAAATGAGGTAATTATCTTGGAGCGGTGGAGGATGTGAAGTGAGCAGACAGTGCTGGGTTGGGGAGGGTCTGAAATCAGGAAACTCTTGGGCAGGGGAAGGTATGAAGTGATGAAAATCTCCTGGAGTTGGGGGAGTGTGAATTGAGGAAACTTTCCCCCTCTCCAAGAGAATGTCTTCACTTCAAACCCTCCCCCACCCTAGGAGAGTTCCCTCACATGACCCCCTTCCCCACAGCTGGACAGTTTCCTCACTTTTCACCCTGCTCTCAATTCACACTCAGTTCACAGAGGGGGTGGATGTGAAGGGAGAGAAGCTCCTGCGGTGGAGGCGGGTGTGAAATGAGGTAAGTCTCCTGTGGTTGGAGAGTGTGTGAAGTGAGAGCGCTGTGTTAATGTGGGGTTGGTCTGAAGTGAGGCAACTCTCCTGGTGTGGGTGTTGGTGTGAAGTGAGCAGGCTCTTGGGGTGGATGAAGGTCTGAAGTGAAGGGACTGTGCTGGGATGGAGGAGGGTGTAAAATGAGGAATCTCTTTTGCAGTGCAGGAGGGTGTGAAGGGAGGAAACTCTCCTGGAGTGGGGAAGGATGTGATGTGAGGAAATTCTTCTGGTGTAGGGTAGAGTGTAAAATGAAACTATCCTGAGATGGGGAAGGGTGTAAAGTGAGGAAGCTCTCTCCTGGGGTGGAAGGGGATGTGAAGTGAGGCACATTCAGGTGGAGGAAGGTGTGGAGGTGACAGGACTGTGAGGAAAGTCTCCTGGAGTAGGAAAAGGTGTGAAGTGAGGGGGCTGTGCTGGGGTGGGAGAGGGTGTGAAGTGAGGCAACTCTTCTGGTGTCAAGGAGTGTGTGAAGTGAGGGTAGTGTGCTGGGGTGGAAAATGGTGTGAAGTGAGGGGACCGTACTGGGGTGAGAAAAGGTGTGAAATGAGGAAACTCTCATGGGTTGGAGGAGGGTGTGAAGTGAAAAACTCTCCTGGTGTGAGGGAGTGTGTGAAGTGAGGGGAGTGTACTGGACTGAGGGAGGGTTTGAGGTGAGAAAAGTATCCTGGGGTAGGAGAAGGTGTAAAGTCCAAGGACTGTGCTGGGGTGAGGGAGGGTGCGTAGTGAGAAAATATTCCTGAGGTGGGGGAGTGTGTGAAGTGAGAAAACTCTCTTGTGGGGTGTGAGCTATGGAAACTCTCCTGGGGTGGGGTGGGTGTGAAGTGAGGAAACTCTCAGGGGGAGGGTGTGAAATGAGGAATCTCTCCTGGGGTGGGTGAGGATGTGAAGCAAGGAAATGCTCTAGGGGTGGGAGAGGGTGTGATGTCATGTTACTCTGTTGGGGTGGGAGAGGAAGTGAAGTGAATGGACTATGCAGGGGTGGGAAGGTGTGAAGTGAGGAAACTCCTGGGGTGGGGAAGAGTGAAGTGAGGAAACTCTTCTGGTGTGTGGAAGGGTGTGAAGTGAATAACATCTCCTGGGGTGGGGAAGGATGTGAAGTGTGGAATCTCTCCTGGTGTGGGGGAGGGTGTGAAGTCAGAAAACTCTCCTGAGGTGAGGGTGGGTGAGAAATGAGGGAATTATCTTGGGATGGATGAGGGTGTGAAGTGAGGGGACTGTGCTGGGGTGGAGGAAGATGTGAAGTGAAGAGACTGGACTGGAGTAGGTGAGGGTGTGAAATGAGGAAGTTCTTCTGAGGTGGGGAGAATGTGAAGTGAGGAAACTCCTCTGGTTTAGGGGAGGGTGTGAAGTGAGGAAACTCTCTTGGAATGCAGAAGTGTGTGATATGAAGAAACTCTCCAGGGATGGAGGAGAGTGAGAAGTGAAGAAACTTTCCTGGGGTAAGGGAAGGTGTGAAGTGTGGAATCTCCCCTGTGGTGGGGAGGGTGTGAAGTGAGGAAACTCTCTTGGTTTGGGGAAAGTGTGAATTGCGGAAACACTCCTGGGAGGGAGGGTGTGAAGTGAGGAAATTCTCTGGGGCGGGAGAGCATGTGAAGTGAGGCAACGCTCTGGGGTGAAGGAGGGTTTGAAATGAGGTAACTCTCCTGTGGTGGAAGAGAGTGTGAAGTAAGAGGACTGTGCTGGTATAGGGGCAGGTGTGAAGTGAGAAAACTCTTCTGGGGTAGGTGTGCTTTATGGGAGTGTGAAGGGAGGGGACTGTGCTTCAGTAGAGGAAGGTATGAAGTGAGGGGACGGGACTAGAGTGGGGGAGTGTGCGAAGTGAGGATACACTTCTGGGGTGGGAGAGGGTGTGAAGTGAGGACTCTCTTTTGGAGTGGAGGAAAGTGTGAAGGGAGAGGACTATTCTGGAGTATCGGAGGGTGTAAAGTGAGGGAGTTCTCTTGGACTGGGGAAGATGAAGTGAGGGGATTGTGATGAGTTGGGGAGAGTGTGGAGTGAGGAAGCTCTAATGATGCCAGGGAGAATGTTAAGTAAGGAAACTCTTCTGAGATGGGGAAGGGTGTGAAATGTGGAAACTCTCCTGCAGTGAGGGAGGGTGTGAAGTGAGGAAACTCTCCTGTGCTGGGGGAAGGCGTAAAGTAAGGAAAGTCTTCTGGGGTGGGGGAGGTTGTGAAGTGGGGAAACTATCTGGGAAGGAGAGTGTGAAATGAGGAATCTCTTCTGAGGTGGGTGAGAATGTGAAGTGAGAAAATGCTCTGGGTGGGGGAGGGTGTAATGTTATGTAACTCTCTTGGGATTGGGAGGGTGTGAAGTGAGTGGACTCTGCTAGGGTGGGGGAGGATGTGAAGTGAGGAAACTCTCTGTGTTGTGTGTGGGTGCAAAGTGAGGACACTACTGGGGTGAGGAGAGTGTGAAGTAAGTAAACTCTCCTTGGGTGGGAGATTTGAAGTGAGGGGACTGTGCAGGAGTAGAGGAAGATGTGAAGTGAGGAAACTCCTGGGGTTGGGAAGGGTGTGAAGTGAGGAAGATGTGAAGTAAGGAAACTTTCCTGGGGTTGGGGAGACTGTGAAGTGAGGAACTTCTCCTGGGGTATGGGAGGAGGTGAAGTGAGGAAACTCCCCTGGGATAGGGAAGGATATGAAGTGAAGAAACTTTCCTGGGGTGGGAGGGGATTTGAAGTGAGGAAACACTCCTGGGGTGGGGATGGGTGTGAAGTGAGGGGACTCCCTTGGTGTGGATGAGGGTTTGAAGTGAGGAGACTCTTGGGATGAATGAGGGTGTGAAGTGAAGGGACTGAACTGGGATGGGTGAGGGTGTTAAATGAGGAAGCTCTCCTGGGGTTGGGCGTGGTGTGAAGTGAGGAAACTCCCTGGGTTGAGTGAAGGTGTATACTGAATAATCTCTCCTGGGGTTGAGGAGGGTATGAAGTGAGGTAGCTCTGCTGTGGTGGGGGAGGCTGTGAAGTAAGGAAACTCTCCTGGGGTGGGGAAGTGTGTGGAGTAGGGAACA